CGGTTCGTGTCCCGGACCTGGGGGCTTAAAACTCATGCTGGGCGTGTGTGTGTGCGTGCCCAAGATCCTGAGAGGAGAATGGAGGAGAAGGGACTGTGGCGTGGCCTTCCCCCCTAGGGGGTGATTTCTCGCTTTCTGTCTCTCTGTCTCTCTCTGTCTGTCTGGCGAGCGCACGCTCCCTATAGCAAAAATCTCTCAAAAAAAAAAAAAAAAAAAAAAAAAGAACTCTAAAAACTGGGACCATGAGTTGGTGTAATGGTTACATCACTGGACTCCCACGTAGTTGACTGCAGCTCAAGTCTCAGACTGGTGGCTTAAAACTCATGCCAGGCACATGTGCATGTGTTCCCAAAATCCTGAGAAGAAAGAAGGGATTGCTGTGTGGCTACTCCCGAGGGGTGATTTCTCGCTTTCTGTTCTCTCTGGTGAGCACATGCACCCTACAGCAAAAATCTTTCTTTTTTTTTCAGAGGTTTATGCTATAGGGCGTGTAAGCTTGCTAGAAAGACAGAGACAGAGAGAGAGAGAGAGACAGAAAGTGAGAAATCACCCCCCAGGGGGGATGGCCATGCCACAATACCTTCTCCATTCTCCTCTTGGGATTTTGGGCACACACACACATGTGCCCCATGTAAGTTTAAGCCACTGGGTCTGGGACTCGAACCATGGTTGACTACATGGGAGTCCAGTAACATAGCCATTACACCAACTGCTGGTCCCCAAAAATCTCTCTTTAAAAATACAGAAAGTAAAACCTCTAAAAACTGGAAAAAACAAAAACAAAAACACAATTTTAAAAAATGAACAAAAGATTTGAACCAAAGCAATATGGATGATAAATAAGTACCTCAACAGATGCTTGGGGCAGATCCAGGGCCTGGTGGTTGAGAGCCGGATTCCTACCTGACCAACCATATAGTTCAAACTCTGGCCACCGTGGCTTGAAAAACATGCTGGTGTGTGTGCGCACATGCCCCAAACCCTGACAGGATGGAGAAATGGAAAAGAAAGGATTGCAGCATGACCATGCTTCCTTTCTCCCTCCCACTCGCTGTCTCTCTCAGTGAACACATGTCCTCTGGCAACTAAAAAATAAATAAATAAATAAAAAATAAGCTGTTCAACATAGTTTTAGGGAAATGTAAACTAAAGCCACAATGAGATATTATCATACATTTGTCAGAATGGCTAAAATGAGAAAGACTGACATACCAAGTGCTATTAGGATGCAGAGGAGCTAGACAGTTAAAACACACACCTACCATATGCTGTTGCAATACTCATCCATAGCAACTTTATTTGTAATAGCCAAATATGGAAACAACCCAAAGGTTCATTGACAGATGAGTGAATAAATCAATTCCATACAGGGAATAGCAAATGGCAGAAATGGCTGTATTGCTGGACTCCCATGTTGTCAACCACAGTCCTGAACCTGGCAGCTTGAAATTCATGCCAGGCATGTGTGTGTGCGTGCCCAAGATCTGGAGAGAATGGAGAAGGGATTGCAGCATGGTCACCCCCATGGGGGGTGATTTCTTACTTCCTGTCTCTCTGGCAAGTACACATGCCCAATAGCAAAAATCTCTCTCTCAAAACAATGGAACACTACCCAGAAATAAAAAGAAATACGCATAACAAGGATGAATCTCAATGTAAGTGTGCTGACTGAAAAAAAAAAAAAAAAAGTCAGATGAAAAAAATAAAAAAATACATATGGTGGGGTCAGCAGGTGGTATGGTGGTTAAGGTGCTGGACTCTCACATGGCTGACCACAGTTCAAGTCCCAGACCTGGTGGCTTGCTTTTTCACTTTCCTTTCTCTGGCTCCCTCTGTCCCTCTTGGTCCAATTTAAATAAATAAAGTTAAATAAAATAATTCTTTAAAAAATATATGGTATGTTTCACTTATATAAAGCTCTAGAAAAGCAAATCAGTGGTTCCTTGGGGGTGGTGAGGGGCTGGGGGCAAAACTATAAAGGGCTCAGAAAACCTGGGTATGTTCACTATCCTGATTTCATGGGTCTGTGTGTCAAGATTTTTTGGTTGGGGACCAGTAATTAGCATAATGGCTATGTTGCTGGATTCCCATGTAGTTGACTGTGGTTCGAGTCTCAGACCTGGTGGTTTAAACTCATTCCGGGTGCGTGTGTGTGCGTGCCCAAGATCCTGAGAAGAGAATGGAGAAGGGATTACGGTGTGGCCATCCTTCCTGGGGAGTGATTTCTTGCTCTCTCTCTTTCTGGTTGAGCGCATGTGCCCTACAGCGAAAATCTCATCAAAAAAAAAAAAAAAAAAAACTTTTTGACTGTATAGTTGGTATCAATTACACATATAATTTTATATACACATATACACAGATACATGTATATACATGCCTTTAGCTACCATATGGTGGTTAGAAGGACCACCTGGGGCCCAGCTGCCTCAGTTGACTACTCCGTCACTCACCTGCCATGAGATACCAGTATGTTACTTCAACTTCTTGGTGCCTCAGTTACCTCTTCTATAAAAGGAAGCTAATTGTGAATCATACCTGAGATTAAATAAGCCAATGCACAAGCTGTGTTTGGAACAGTGTCCAGAACACAGGGAGTTAGTTCCCTTTCACTGCAGTGGAGAGGCTTGGAGTTGGAAGGAAGATAGAATAGGCAACTTGCTTTGCATCCCTTACCATGAAACTGTCCTTTCCTACCCCTTCCAAGGTGATTCTGGTGTTGCAGGATGTAGCCTGTAACAGTACTTTGTGCCCAGCTGGCAGGTGGTGTGGTGGTTAAGGGTGCTGGACTCCCACATGGCCAAATAAGGTTCGAGTCCAGGACCTGGCAGTTTGCTTTCTCACTTTCTCTTTCTCACTCTAAAATAAGTAAATAAATAAATAAAGTTAAATAATCATTAAAAACATAGTACTCTGTGCCCAAGGACACAGTGATTGGTGCAAGATGTGCAAACAATAAACCAAAACTGGATCCATCAGAGACCTTTTCTGGGATTTGTCTATATCAAATAAATATATATGAATATACTGAAGTAGGGAGGGGGATGTCTTTTCCCTGCTCTGAGTATATTAAATTGGATAAGGGAGGCCTACAATGACCTATGCTACTCTCCTCTTGTCTCCAAACAGGGAAGATGATGGTGGACTGTGACAGAATGAGCCCAAACAGCAGAGTCCTAAGTCCACCCTTTTGAGTCCGTGGATCCAGTCAAACCTGAAGCAAAACCAACACTGTCCTTGATTTAACAACTAATCAATTCCAACTGGGACCTGGGCAAGTTTGACCTATTGCTGCTTGCAATTGGAGGTGCCCCTATGTTAGGGAGAAGTGGGTTGGCAGTAAAATATTAGAGCTGGGAATCAAAATTGGGTCTGACACAGGACTTGTATCAGACAGAGAAGAGCAGTGGCCCGAGCCCTAGAAAGAAGACAGGAGAGTAAATCTGGGGAAGCTATCTGACCAGAGTCTGCTTACCTTCACACAAGATCCAAGACACAACAACAGGACAATGGCAGATTTATTTACAATTGACCAAAAAAAAGGCATACAGGCATTTTTTTAATTAAAAATAATAATGATTTAAAAAGTCAGAAAATCGATGATGTGTGGACCCCTTATAAGGAGCCCATTTCTCCACTCCCCACAAAATGAGAATCTCTTAGAGAAAAAAAATCCAAGATTTGAATGAACAAAAGACTCCAACATCATCCTCTACTGCTTGGGCTCTCTTTTCTCCAACCCGATTCTGGTGGACATCACTTGGAGCTGCGGAGTCACGGAGGCCAGACTGAGAAGTTCACTGGTTTGATTGATGGAACTGGTGGGGATGGCAGGAGGATGTGGGGTGCTGAGGGGTGGGTGTGTTCCTAGCTTAACCAGCATCTTCAGCTTCGTCTTGTGGTCAGGATCTCAAAGGGGCTCGAGCAAAGGTGAGTGGTCCTGACCTGAACCTAATCCCAGGTGGATCTGGTCTCCTGAACCTCAAAAGCAAATGTCTGTAACATGCAAGATGGGGGAGAGTGGGGGTTTGTGGAGGAGTCAGGCTAGCCGGGTCAACCCCTTTCTAACTTGGGGACACTGAGCTCGCATATTCCTGGGAATTGGGAAAGGAATGACAGAACTTGCTCTCACCTTCCTTCATAAGCAGTTTTCTGGGTGTCCTGAGAAGGAGGCGGCAAGAGCTCAGGCCAGAGGAGGAGTGGGTCTGGTTAAAAGGACTAAGAACACCGAGGCCAGAGGAAGTCAGGGAGAGGACGGCTGTCCAGCCACCAGAGGAGGGCATCTGAGGTCCCCAGGCCTCCCTGGTTTGCCCTGGAAGTGGGGGGGAGGGGACACCACCAGTGCACTTTGGGAAGAGCAGCGACCCCGAGGAAAGGGCTGGGAAGCAATCCTGAGGGATGAGGGGCCCACACGGCCATCCCTTCCTAGACAGACATGTGGACGCTTCGTTCCGGATAAACTTGGCCCCAGGTCCATGGTTTCTTGGCACAAATCTATTCACTGCATCTCTTCTCTTCCTTCCTGTTGGTCCAGCAATTTCTGGCTGCTCTGAACAGGGGTGATTCCTGCAGTCCTAAGGAACCTGGATCCCAGAAATTCCAGGGGATTTCCTTGTAGCAACCAATCAGGGCTTGCTCCGGTGGAGGATGACCTGGAGGCCAGCTGGAAACCCTGCCCTGGACAGCCCTGGGAGACAGGAGAGAGGAGGGGGCTGGCCGAGACTTGGCACCGAGGTTGCTGTCCGGGTCAGGGCTGTACTTTGTCACGGCATTAATGGCGCGGCCGGCTGGTGAGAGGAGAGAAACCTCATAGGAGCCCTGGTGTTCCCTCTTCCAGTTAGTCCTGGGGTGGCCAACAGCACTGAGGAACTGAGGTGGAGAGAGTGACCAAAACCCAGTATCTTCATGGATTTATCCATCCTTTATCCATTTGTGAAAAAAAAATTAAGGGTTAAAAAAAAAAAAAAAAAAAACAGAATAAAACCCAAAAACTGAAACTAAAGATAAAACCTGAATAAACAGGTCAAAGTGTTCCTGCTGGATAGAACATTCTTAGTACTGGAAAAACAAAACAAAACAAAACAAAACAAAAAACAAACAAAACACACAAAAAACTCATCCCCCACAGAACTGGAATAAGATGAAGAAAAATGCAAGATTTATCTACAGGCCCTCCCGCCCCCCACGCAGCCCCGAGATCCAGGAACACTGTGCCAGGAGTTACATTCCAAACGAGCAGGAGTTTTTTATTTGCGTGCCTGCAGTTCCCCACGCAGGGTGACTTTTGTCTGAGGATGGTGTGGGCCTGGCCTTGGTCCACCCGATCAGTCTATCTTCACGGCGGCGTAGATCTTGCGGACAAACATGTAGGCTGCATAGAAGCCGATGGTGCCCGTGAGCAGCCAGAAGGACAGGACCATGAGTGCCGTGTAGCCGAAGTAGAGGAGGGAGGGGATGAACTCGACGATGTCCAGCTGCAGCGCAGTGGGAGAGAACAGAGGAGCACTGCTTAGTGGCTGGGCTGCCACGGCAAGCGGGAGGACTCCCCCTCACTGATCTCATGGCAAAGTAGGCCTGCCAGGGGGAGCAGGCTTGCTCCTGGTGTGCAACAAAGGGCAGGTGGGGATCGTAGCCATGGCTAGCCTTCACCCGCACGGGACCTGTGAACCTGTGGATATCAGGACCTCAGGGGCCAGGCTGGAGTGCTCTTGGCAGGGTGGGCCACAGCTGGGCCACCTCCTGGTCCTCCACAGTCTGCAGAGCAGTACAGGGACGTTTCTGGATGGCTGGGGCCATAATCAGGGAGAGGGAAGGAGGCAAGAGAGGGGTAGGCAAGGCTTCCAGTCCAAGTACCAGCGAGACTCCACCAGCCTGCCCTGGCCTCCACTCCTCTCCTCTCAAGAACGCTGGTCACTTGTGTCAACATCTCACTGTGATTTGTATCTTGGAGCATCTTAGGCTCCTTTTAACTGGGTACTTGAGAAGGCTGGGCAGAGAGGCTAGGGGTCTCTGTGTGGTGCTGTCTGCTGGTACAATGGAGCTCATCTGGAACCTTGGTACCCACGTATGCCTAGGGCACCAGGGCCTGAGTAGGGCCTGTTCCATGGTTCATGGGCAGGAACCCAGAAGAAAACAACAGGGAAAAAAAAAATGAGGTAAAGATTATAGACCATTCCTTAAGCCTGAGGGGTCAAGACCATGCTTTCAGGCCCATCTCTCCTAAAGAGCATTCCTGAAGTTGGGGGTGGGGTGAGAGTGAAGAAGTGGAGGGGGCAGTGCAATGCCAAGACCAGGAAAGGGGAGAGACAAAAGAGAGGCAGAGTTGAAAGGTCTTAGAGTCAGGCAGGCCAAGGCCTTCATTTTATAGATAAGGCTGGAGGAGGTTTTAGGGCAGAGAAAGAAGAGGGGAGGAGAGGCCATGATGTGACCTTTAGCTTCTGTTTTCCCAACACTGTTCCTGCCTTCCTGCTTCCAGGTGTTTTAAGGGCCACATGTGCTACTCTGTGGTCCTGTTGTGGCCATCAAGCCCAGAATAAAACCCAAGTCAGTCAGTCAGAACACATCAGCCTATGGGACTTGATGAACAGTGAGCGACGGGCATGTACCTGAGCAGGGTCGCAAGAGGCTGTGGAATCAATGGAGGGACTGATATTCCACAGCAGATCAAAAACATTCTTTCAGCTCTAGGGCTGCCACCGGCCAACTTTCTACTTTGTAGGAAGATCATGGCTATAGGATAAAGCCAAATAAAAGACACCCAGAAAGCCAGCACCTACTGGTTAATGGGGCCAGATTTCACATGCCTGACTGTGGTTCAAATCCCATCACCGGTGGCTTGTAAAATATGGTGGGCACGAGTATGTGTGTGCCCCAAATCCCAATAGGATGGAGCAGTAGAGGCTATTGGGGCATGACCAGAGCCCACTGGTGGTTGCTTTCTCCCTCTCTGTCTCCCTCTAGCAAGCATATGCACCCTATGGCAATTATAAATAAAAAAGACACACAGAGCTAAGGTATGAACACAAAGCCCTGATACTATTTTTTGGTTTTGTTCTTTATTCATGATACTGTGTGTGTGTGTGTGTGTGTGTGTGTGCGTGCGTGTGAAGGAGAGAAGAAAAAGGAGCGGCTACACCACAGAGTAGCAAGTGTGCAACTGTGCAATCCCCTTCCTCCAGTTCCCCAGCCTGTCTCATCCTGGGCACTTACACTCAGGTCTGGTGTGTTTCAGGCTAACCGGGTCTGGGATTCAAACCAGGGTTGCTATGTGGGAATCCAAATTCTCTTGAGCAGCGCCACAGAGTCAGTCTCCTGATATTGTTCGAGACCTTGGATCTAACCATGCCTGAAACTAGAACAGCAACTTCTTAAACTTCCAAGTTACATAAGCCAATAAATTCTCTTTATTTTTTTTCAAGAGGTTTTTGCCTTAGGGCATGTTTGCTCGCTGGAAAGAGGGAGACAGAGACAGTGAGAGGGAAAAGAGGATGGCCATGCCGCAATCCCTTCTTTTCCACTCTCCTCCTGGAGTCTTGGGCATGCATGCACATGTGCCCAGAGTGATTTTCAAACAATTGGGTCCAAGACTTAAACCATGGTCAGTCATGTGGGAGTCCAGCAACGTAACTACTATGCCATCTGCTGGTCCCAATAAATCCTCTTCTTGCTTGTGCCAGCCTGCACTGGGTTTTGGTCAACTGTAACTCACAAAAGTTCTGATGAATAAATATCAGCTATAGGGGAGGGAGATTAGATTTACATGTTCAAGAAGATCCCAAGAATAAGACTAAGGTCTGAAGATGGAAGTTACAGGGAGGCACACTACTGCGTAATCAAAGAAGACCTTGATAATGACAGCAGCTCACTAGAAAGAGAAGAGGAGTGTTACAACAGAGTGTCTTCTCGATTTCTAAACGTGCCAGAGCCGGGGCCAGCAAACTTCTTAAAGGGCCAGATTATAAATATTTTAAGTTTTACAGGCACACGGTCTCTGTTACTCTGCTATTATAGTGCAAAAACAGCTACAGATGATATATACATGAATGAGCACGGCAGTGCTGTATTTCTAGAAACAAGCCTACTGGCCCCCAGGCTCCTGGGCCAGGTGATCATCTGCTGGGACTGCTGGAGAAGAGGGGCCTGGTCACCAGACTGGACACAGGGGTGGAGCATTGCACTAGATGGTCCTTAAAGTCCTTTCCAATCTGGTGTTTTTGGGAACGTGCCCGTTTCCAAGCTTCTCTAGCTGACCAACAGCTCCATCTTGCAAATACACACTGGTTTCAAGTAGAGGACTGTGCGCTTTTGGGCTTTGGAGACCCACAGAACAGAGTGTAGTCTACAGGTTAGCCTTGGAGGTGAGGGGCTCACCAGAGCGCCCCAAACTTCACCCAGTGGCTTATCTGGTTACATGTCATGCATAAATGCAGGAAGACTGCTGTAGGGATTGGTGTGTTCTTATCCTTGCCACTCTCTGGGGTTTGCCCTAGTCAGGCAAGCCCCGCTCCTTCCCACGTGGGCTCACACAGCGAGGCCTCCGGGATGCAGGCAGAGGCCCGTTCATCCTCTCCTTACTCTGCAGGACCAGTACTTGAATGAGGAAGAGAAGGAAGCCTCCAGGAACAGGTGCCTGAGGACCTACGTCTGGGTTCTCAAGGCTGTCAGCATTTTCTGCTTTTACCTGAACTCCTTTTATCTCACAGGTTTTATGCAGTCTTCTCAGTCACTTATCCTGAAGGCTTTTTCTCCCAAACAGGCAGACCATGAGCTCTCACTTTCCTAAAAGGATGCCTGTTCTCGAGCAGAAGGCATTCTAGATGGCTTTGGTTCCCCCTACTCTCGGTGGGAAAGTAAGGCTCACACACAGGTTTTTTTAATCCCAGCATCCTTCTCTGGGCCATTATACCCTAAAAGGACTAAGGGGATCCCCTCAAGGAGGGTGGTACCTTGTTGACAAAATAAAAGATGGCATAGACGAGGACATAGAATGCAGATCCCCCGGAGACTAGGAAGTTCCTCCACCACCAGCGGTAATCCTGCAGAAGGACAGAGGAAGAGTCATTGCCATCTCTGGCCAAAGCGTCTTCCTACCCAGTCTCCCAGCTGCCGAGGGGCTGAAGACTCCAGTAAGAAAGGTAAGGACTGGGGTGATGGGAATATTTTACAGCTGGACAGTGATACTAGTTACACCTTCTGAACACTAGACTTACAGACTTAAAGGTGAATGTTACTATTTATAAATAAAACTTCAGTTTCTAAAAATATCAATAACAAAAAAAGAAAAGTGACAATTGACATTCCTTGAGCAACTATGTAGCATGTGCCAGGGCACTCTGGATGCTACATGAATCCAGTCACTTGATCCTTAGAGCTGCCCTCTGGGCTAGGTCCTACCACCGTCCTGGCACACTGAGGTGGCCTGGAAGGAAGGCTCAGAGGTTAAGCGCCTGCCAAGAGCCCGGGCTACTAGTGGAGGAGCCAGGATTCCAGACCAGGCTGTGTGTCCCAAGAGGTAGGGCCAGAAGGAAGGCAGCTCACCACCTGCACCAGCCTGTCAGGAAACCCACCACGGGAGCAGATGTGGTACTGACCAACCACCGTCCTTTTATCAAGGAACAGCGCCCGCCCCACACCACCACATGGTGAGGAGGTATCAGTAACCAGTGTACAGCTGGATAAACGGACCTCAGAGAGAAGCAACACACTGGGCCACAGCAGAAGAGGGAGGGCCATATGGGAAACCATGACCTAGGCTCTTTGCGCAGCCTCACTGATGTTCAGTGCCCATTCTAGCTCCCACGTCCCCAACCCTGTCCCCTGACCCCGGCCTCCTGGTGCCACTCCCCTCACCTCTGCACAGAGCTGGAAGTACACCATGACGATGCTGATCTGTGAGCAGGATACCACGAGGATGATGAAAACGAGGAACAGGAAGCCAAAGAGGTAATAGAACTGGTTCTCCCAGATTGCCTGTGGACATACCACAGTGGACCTTCAGCTGGCCTGTCTCCATCCCACTGTCCTGTCCCCTGGCATACCACCTGTTACTGGAGTAGGCATGGAGACACCCTCATGACACCATCAGGGCCTGTGGGCTGGTCCCTCCTCCCTGGGGCAGGAGGTGAGGGAGGGGCTGGACACAGCTGACCCTGTTCTTGGTAGGTCTCAGTCTGAATGTGAGGAAATGATGATTCCCATCCCAATTAAAATTATCCAGCAGCCAGCACCGCACTCCATCCTTTCTCTACATCTCCACGTGAGCCTAAGAAAGCTTGGTCTTTATGTGAACTGAGGAAGGTGGGGCCTGGGATGCTGGAGACTTCCCAGGCTCACACAGGCAGAGCAGAGAGAACCTTCCTGGGAAATGCACATGGGCCAAATGGCAGCCAACCCATCGTTTGCCCTTCTCCTTGTAGGCCTGGAAGGGCAAGGTGGTCTCAGTGGGGAGGCCCTGGGCCAGCACCCTGGAATAGCAGACACCTGCCCAGTACTGACTGAGTGCAAGGCACAGAGCTGGGTCAGCCAGACTTGCATGGCTCTGAAAAGACCTCCTGTCACCTGTCATCTCGGCACCCCTGGGAAGGAGGGATCTCTCTCAGAGCAACAGCCAGCGTCTATTACAGATGTTATCACACTCCAGTCTCACAATGAGCTGATGGTTAGAGCTCACCCTTCCTTGTTCCAGGGAGCTATGAATAAGGTGGACAGCTAAGACGTGCAGGGGCCCAGAAATCAAAGCAGATCCAATGCTACTGATCGTGGCAGCCAATGACTGCAAGGTTCTGGAAGCAGCTCTTTCCCCGCACCAGACCCCCTACATGGGCGTCTCATTCAGCAGTCAAAGCTGTTCTGACAGACAGGACTGTTACTATTTCAGGGTAAAAATCAGGCTCCGATGGGCAATGAAAAGCAGAGTGCCTGAGTGAGGAGCAAGCTCAGGCTAGCGTGGGTGCCAGCAGTGTGGGGTGGGGGCAGGCAGCAGTACTCACACTGAAGATGAAGAAGAGCTCGATGAACATGGCGCCGAAGGGCAGGATCCCAGCCATGAGGATGCTGCAGCAGGATGAGAGTGTTAGCCGCGAGGAGACCCAGGCTCCCTTCCAAGCCAGCACCGTGAGGGTGCCTCCACAGGCGGGGTGTTTCTAACTCTACTGGCACGATTTGTACCATTACAGCTTTTTGAAAGGTAGGCAGAGGGTGGGCATCATTCTCCCATTTTTTATAGATGAGAAACTGATGTACAGAGCTGGGGTGACCTGCCTAAAGTCCAAGTGATGGTCTTAACCTGTCTTACCACACCCTGCCACCCCTCCCTTCCCTGTCTGCTTCCTAGGCCAACACCATGAGTGACGACCACCTAGTCCTCTTTGTCCTGGAGTGGAGCTAAGCTTTCATGAAGTCTGCTAGAGCCGTGTGGAGCTGTAGAGTACTAGTCACACCTGTGGGTACCCTTTCCATGAACGCCTAAGGAGAGGGCTCAGGGGGGTGCTGGCTGGCCTCGCCCATTTCAGAAGCCCCCTGCTCTTGCCCCTGCTGGAAGACTCACCCCACAAATCGATTCATGTACCACCGCTGTTCGGGGATCTGCCGGGGAATCTGGTTGGTGCGCACAGGGTTGTCGTATGGCTGCTTGCGGAAGCCAAAATAGTAGCCCAAGTAGACCAGGGGCAGGGAGATCCCGAACCACATGCATAGCAGAGCCACCATGGTGGGAAAGGGCACCTGTGGACACAGCACCGTGAGGTCTCCACGGAGCCTGAATGGGGGTGGTACAAGGCGGAGAGGGCCTCTGGGCTCCAGGGAAGAGGCCACATATGTGCACAGCAGGGCCAGGGTGGTGGGGAGAGTCTGAATACATCCTCCTTTCCCAGACACAGGGTCCCTGGCCAGATTTCTTGGAGATACCCCCAGCCCGAGGGAAAAGCAGTGTGAGGATGGGGGCTGCTTGGGCTCCCAGGGAAGAAGGAACCTTAGCATTCTGGCAAGCCTGGCATCCAGAAGGGAAGAGGGGAGGACTGGGAAGGAAGGGACTGAGAGCATGATGGACAGAAGAGGCCAGAACAAAAGGAAAGGAAATGGGTACATTAAGTGAGGGGCAAGAGCTGCACTAAGGGCAGCTCTTTTGTTAAAGCACAATATATCATTGAGTAAAACACAGGTTACAAATAAGCACACAGAAGGACTCCACCTTAATAAAAACACAAAATATCTACTTACAAGGGATCTTGAAAAAGTCCATGAAAAAAATGGAATTAAAATGGCCAGGCTGTGTTCCAGTGTAATACGACTGGACCCACACGGGCCAGGTCCTGGCTCTGTCTCCCAGAACTTCCTTGAACACTGCAAGCATGCATGTGTATCTGTGATGCAGCTGAGACTAGGAGTGAATCGCAGCATGAGGATCTTGCTGGTGGTACCTGTCTCTCTGCCTCTCATGGGAGAGATATATAAATGTATTTTTTTTTAAAAAATAGAATTAAAAAATAAAATCATAAATTTTGTTTCTCAACATGTGCTCCATCAAGTTCAAGACAATTTTTTAAAAAGAATTATTTAATTTTATTCATCATCATTATTATTTTTTTCAATTTGACCACAGAGCAACAAAGAGAAAGAGAGGGAAAGTGAGAAAGCAAGCCACCAAGTCCAGGACTTGAACCATGGTGGCCATGTGGGAGTCCCATGCCTTAATCACCATGCCACCTGCCAGCCCCAAGTTCAAGACAATTTTGTAAGCAATGCTGCTGGCTATCTAGTCCAGCCCTAAAGAACTGCAGGGCCTGAGAATTTAACCATGTAAATACAGCCTGTTTATATTAACTGAAGAAAAATAGGTGCCATTTAAATAATTTTTAAAGATTAGAAAACCAGCACTCAGAGGGAGTCAAACCAGGACATAAGTGGATGCCTAAGGATTTCCCTGGTAGTTAAGGGAGCTGGATCCCACATAGCCAGAAGTGTACTTTGAAGCCCAGCCCTTTTGGAAGATTGCCTTTGACTGATGAGCGGAAGGACCAAGGAGCATTGTCGCTCTATGAGGAAGCTTTCTCGAGTGCCTTTCTGCTAAATCTTTGGTTAACTTTCTCAAAACACTTCCATAAGCAGATGTTATTGTTTTCTGGCCCTCCAGAAAATCAGCAAGTCACATGCCTTGAGCATCCCAAAATACTGTGGATATGACCTTTGACCCTGATCAGTTTGTTTTCGTTATGCCTTTTATTTACTTACTTTTTAATGTGCCAGAGTGTGTGTGTGCTCGCCAGAGTGAGACAGAGAGAAAGAGGGGGAGGGAGAAGCAAAAGTATCCCACGACGGGGTGTGGTCACACCACAAACCTTCTCTATGTCTCATCTTGTTAGGATTTTGGGCACACATATGCACACATGTGTGTTTTTCAAGCCACCAGGGCCAGACTTCAAAGTGCATTGCTGGCCATGTGGGATCCAGCTCCCTTAACTACCAGGCCATGGGGCTGATCCTGGACTTCTTGGTAGCCACTTCGTTGTGTTTTTTTTTTTTTTTGAGAGGTTTTTGCTATAGGGCGCGTGCGCTCGCCAGACAGAGAGAGAGAGAGACATAGAGACAGAAAGCGAGAAATCACCCCCCAGGGGGGCTGGTCACGCCGCAATCCCTTCTCCTCCATTCTCCTCTCGGGATCTTGGGCACGCACGCACATGCGCCTGGCGTGAGATTTAAGCCACCGGGTCCGAGACACAAACCGCAGTTGACTGCGTGGGAATCCAGCGACATAGCCATTACGCTAACTGCTGGTTCCCCCACTTTGTTGTGTTTTATCTTTAGATCATACTGGTAAAGCCACATGTCATGTTATTATGATTGTCTGAAGGAATGCTTCAGGATCTTAATCCTACTTGTTGAAAATTTCCATTGAGGTATCAGCAAGCGGCAAACTGGTTAAGGCACTGGACTCCCACAAGGCCGACTGCAGTTTGAGTCCCAGGCGTGGAGGCTTGAAACACACTGGGCACACATATGTGTCCAAAATCCCAAGAGAAGAATGGAAGAGCAGGGATTGCGGCATGGGCATCCCCCTGGGGAGTGATTTCTCACTTTTTCTCTGTCTCTCCAGCAAGGACAAGTACCCGATAGCAAAAATCTCTCTTAAACAAAACAAAACAAAACAAAATTTCTATTGAAAGCTCTGCTCTTATCTGCAGTTGATATGGGCATTGCAGTTTAGGTAATGGTTGAGCAAAAGCTTGCTTAACTTTATTTTTTCAGATAGTGTAAGCTGATCCAATTGAGATTGTATGGTGCTGGCTATTGTTTCTACTGGTCTTTTTTTTTGAAGAGGCTTTTGCCTTAGGGTACGTGTACCTGCTGGGAGAGAGAGTGAGATCACCCACCAGGGTAGATGGCCATGCCATAATCCCTTCTCTTCCTGAATCTTGGGCACGCGTGCACACGCGCCCAGGATCGATTTTTTTTTTTTTTTTAAAGAGAGATATAGGGTGTACGTGCTTGCCAAAGAAAGAGAAAGTGAGAAGTCACCCCCCCAG